ACAGAGATAGACAGAGATAGACAGAGATAGACAGAGATAGACAGAGATAGAGAGAGATAGATAGAGATAGAGAGAGATAGATGGAGATAGATAGAGATAGATAGAGATAGATAGAGATAGATAGAGATAGATAGAGATAGATAGAGATAGATAGAGATAGATAGAGATAGATAGAGATAGATAGAGATTTATAGAGATAGATAGAGATAGATAGAGATAGATAGGGATAGATAGAGATAGATAGAGATAGATAGAGAGAGATGGAGATAGATAGTGATAGGTAGAGACAGACAGATTAGTTAGTTAAATAGATAGACAGATAGACAGATAGATAGATAGATAGATAAACAGATAGATAGGTAGATAGATAAGTAGATAGATAGATAAGTAGATAGATAGATCGACAGACAGACAGACAGAGAGAGAGAGATAGATGGATACATAGATAGATAGGCGGGTAGGTAGGTAGGTAGATAGGCAGAGAAAGAGACAGAAAGAGAGAGAAACAGAGGAGACCTCAACCACCTTTCGATCCATCAGTGGCTTTGCTCTGCCATCCGTGATTCACAACAACCACGGTTGAAGTTAGCTTACTATTATTTCGTTTCGTTCAAGGTGGACATTCATTACATTTAGTTATATCTCATACAAGTAGATATAACCATAAAGCAAAACGCAACAAATGCATATGTATAAACATAGATCATACACATATATATATACATGTATAGATATTAAAACGCGCGTGAATCGAAATCGCCAATCAAAAGCAACAGACACGAAGTTTCCAACTCTCCCTTCCACTTGATCCCTCAATCTCGAATTGGTGCTTCCTTTTTTCACATTGCTGGATATTTGAATGCCAATCTGAACCAGTTCGTTCTGGTCACCAATCCATCTATGTCAATGGACTTAAATTCCCCCGATGATATTCAACAGGGAGAATATGATCTCTGGAACAGCAAACGCATAAACAAATAGTGGAAGCAACAGCACAAGTTTGGAAAAACCAATAATAGAGAAAAAACCGCAAGCAAAATACCCTCATCATTAAGTGATGAAGCGCAGAGATCAGGCCAACATTGCTGTAAATGAGCTGGAGGTGCATTTATCCATCAAGGATGTATGTTAGCTCATGTGAAACTGGTTGAAATTATCTGCCGGTAGTGGATTATGACAAATCCATCAATGTATGGGTGAAACAAAACGGATGCATGGCAAAATGCGCAGCTGCAAAGGAACCGATGCTCGGATGTTGGATGTTGATTCAGCGGATGACTGGCCAGGATCGGTGTTGGAAACCGATACGGAATGGCTACAGAGACAGGATCTTCGGAAATAAGCTACGAATTTGGATCTGGAGGTCCCAAAACAAAAGGGGAAGTGGAGGGAGGGTCAAATTATTTCAAACCAAGCAAAGCAACGCCAAATGCAATGAATGTCCACTTGAGCCAAAATGAATCAGCGAATAAAATAC